ACATATGAAGACATATATATATATAGGACTTGGTGGTGAATTTGTCACAGCAATAGCATATAGTATTCGTGGACAACTTAGTTGGCATCATAAAACCTTTTCCTATAGGTAAAAAATAAAAATTTATGAATTTTCATAAATTTATTTATTTTATAGTGAAACACCAATGCCAACCGTTGATGTTGCTACACGAACAAATCATGATGCTGAACAATTCTGTCCATTTTTAGAAACACTTACAGACGCCGAAATGGATAAAAAGATACGTGATCAAGATCGTAATACACGGTAAAAATTTATTTACGAAAAAGAAAGAAAATTTATTTCTTTTTTTAATTTTTTTCAGACGTATTCGTCGTTTGGCTAATACTGGTTCAGCTTGGTAGAAATAATTGTATCTAACATTTTTTTTGCTGTTGTTAGTTTGTCATTGTCAATTTTTTTTCTGTGAATAAAAACTTAATAAAACTCTAGTTGTTAATGAAAACAAAAATTTCTGTTATTCAACACACGCAGTCAATCCTCGCAGAAATCAACTACATATTCATTCAGATATTTTTTTGTTTGATTTTATCTTTCATAAAATACTTATCTAAATAAGATTTTTTATCAACAACTGAACTCATGTTTTGATGCCAAAATAAATTTTGTTCTTGTCTCGATTGCTTCATTCTCGCTGAGAGAACATAGATATTATCATCACTAATCGGCATCGATCATCTTGAAAGAATCGATAGAAAATAAGTTTGATTGAGATGTCTTGAATGATGGCAATCATTTCAAATGAAACGTGTATTTCATCTTAGGAAAATTGTTTTCACGAGAAAACATAAGCGAAAACTTTTCCTTGTATAATAAAAGTGATTAAAGATTTCAAAGACCAAAACACGACTCTCTAATGGATTTCAGAAAAGATACGTTGATCAACAAGAACGACTTTTTGTCAACATTAGACAGTTAATGTCTTTGAAAGGTATATCAATGCTTTTTTCGAAAAGGTCGACTAACACTTCGAATTGATTCTGTTGATTTATCTATAGTAGCTATTTTAGATATTTTTCAGATAGATGATAATGTGATTTATAAAACATGATTTACTGAAGATGTTTTCCTTTACACATTGACTTGAGATATGTATGATTTTAGTGACGATAAAATAAATTTTCATTTCTTCTTCGTTCACGTGTTCTTTTATTTTTGAAAACTCTTCCACAGAGTCAAATTATCCTTTAATATTATCTTCCGTGTTTTCTATAATGTCACACCATTTTCAAGATAATGATGTTATTTTTGCTGACTTCATATCTATTATTTCTTCATGAAAAGTTTTTTTGCACTTAACTGTCAAAATATTAACTTTTTAAAATATTGATCTCCAAGGTCATCAAAAACTGAAAATTGACTTGGTTTTTTTTCTCGGAGAAAACATCAAATTGTTTTCAAAAATATTTTCATGTGAAAATTCATTCTAGCTAAATCTTTTTATGTGACAATTGCTGTATTCAAATAAAATAATCAGATCCCCAAAGAAAACTTTGCTTAGGCAGCAATTAATTTCTTTTGAATCAACATTGTCAATTCTTCTGATGACGATGAGAATAGAAAGAACAACTATTCTGTTTTAGATATCTTGTTCGTATAATGTCCTTTCTAGACGTTAGAAAGCAAATCATGGTGTTTTAGCGGCAATGATGATGGCATAGCATGAGATATTTTCTTCGAGATCAGCATGTTTTTCGATCCCGTCATGATCTTTATTGTCCGTTCATCAAATTAGAAAGAGACTCTCCCAACCGAATAGATTTTGTCGTTCATTGGCAACTATATAAATACAAATAAGATCAATAACGGGCACTTGACTGCAAAACGGGTCAATTATTGGACCATGACAAAGGAGGTATTTGAAGACATTAAAAATTAATTCTTATTTATCTGAGAATCGATTGTCTCTCTAGGAAAAGAGCATATAAATAATTTCATCTTACTTTTAGTCTCTACTAGCAACGAAAAATCCAGTTGTCTATCGTCAAATAATTTTATTGACTTATCGCAATAAATAAGACGGAAAATATCCAACAAAAAGTATGATATAGCATGAGAGATATTTGAATAAAAGAAAGTAAAAAAAAACATTGCTAGAATAAACAAGCACATTATACATTTAGCATTGGAGTACCTCGTATATAAGAATAAGTTATTGAATATTGAAAAGTCGAAATGATAATGGATTCTAAGAATGCAGAACTGCCGAAAAAATTCATCGATTTAGTATATTTATCATTTTGACAGGAAAGATCATAGAGAAGATGGATGACGAAATAGATTCTTGATGTTGTCACTTCAAAAATGACGATCAGAGGTTTATCGTTATTACTTAGATTGTATGCGAATGTCATATATGACGATCGATTATAGTGTTCAATATCTGTTGTCAATTTCATTGGAGATCGAATTGTTTTCATTTGATCTTTTTTGCTCATTTTATTTAATTTATCGAAGTCAAGTAAATTATATTCAATAGGTTTCGATCAAAGTGAAGGATGTAGATAGTCTTTAATCGAATCTTATGAAGAATCAGAGTCATTATTCATGGAGAACGAAGAAAAAACATAGTTTTAGATCCAGATGATCACAAAATTCATGTATAGTACAGTCGAATATAAATAAAATGAGTCATTGAATAATTGAGTAATCTTTACTATTGATTGTCTCAGGTTTAAATATGATAATCCTTGTTGAACAGAAGTTAATTCTGTGGTCACATTTTCTAACAGACAAATTCAAGCGTCAGCAGTCATGGAGAATGAAAAGTCACTCACTCTATTCGAAATTAATCGTCGATAATAAAACTTTGATTGTTCATCATAATTGAGCTTCTTAGCTTCACTGATATAGTTATTCAAATTTTCTCGTAACTTTGTACACAGTAACACAGCATCATAGGTTATGTCGCATTTTCTTTGTATACAGTCGTAAATGTGCGGTAATCTCATCACGATTCCACCGTATTTTTGCTACAGATAGTATGGCCAGAATACGGTGCGTTTCTATGTCGTAAATTAACCGTGTGACCAGCCGTATACTGACTGTGTAGTTGAACTGGGTATTGTGAAATATGTCAAGAATACTATTGGCGTATACTTTCAATGCATGGACAGCACCTGTGATGAACGTACACGACCGTATTTGGTTGAAAACTACCCGTAAGTCGAGTTACACTTATCGAATACATCGTGTTTTCGTTTTGAAGTCAGCGGCAAATGCAACGATAAGCAATTTTTAAAAATACGTCCATTATTCAAAATAAACCAAACAATAGAATAAAGAGTTAATCTTTTTTTTAATTGAATAGTTTCATTTTAAAATAAATAATTTTTGTAAAACTCACATGTATTTTCCAAGCAAATAGTGAGTGTAAGTTTTAAGTTCAGGTTTTTGCAGCTCTCTCTCCTCATTACAGACATTCCTACAGTACAGAGCATAGCGACTCCATCAAAAACAGAAAAAATTTCTGTTCGAGGTATACAAATAAAAAAAGACATAATTTGCTGACAATCGATTACGATTAGAAAAGAACTATCGCCTTTTAAAGAATTTAAACACTGTATTTTGTCATTAGTATAATGAAACTAAAGAAGATATATGTGAATTCCACATTTCAGTCCTAAAGGAGCTGCACTAAAAAGCTTTTTTTTTATTTCGATTGATTAAAACTTCACGTTAGACAAGAAGTAGCTTAAAAGAAATAAAATAAAGTTTCGTATTTAAAGCGAGACGAAGAAAATCCGTCTCTCTTAGTTGAGAAAAATGATGTGAATATGACAGTGCATGATCATTTATGACTGTCAAAGCGCTTGTCAGGAGATTATTCTCTCCATTTTCTTTGATAAGGTCATGAACACTTTCTTGGATATAGATCAAATTTTGTGCGATTTCGTCATCATCTTCTAAGTCCTTTTGAATGAAATGATTATGTGATAAATTTTGCATGTTCTGTAATTATATTTTGTAGCTCCAGTCATCCTTGAGATGCACGATAGATTTTTCTTGAAGGACTGATGATTTTGAAACCGTGTAATTTGTTAATTCCACTGACTTTTGAATAATATTTGCAAATGATGACACTATTTGCTTTGCTTGATCCGATATCCTCATTTCGGCAAACATTTTTTCTTATAAATATTCTTCTCATTTTATCGAAGTTTCGGTTTTCAAAGTTTTAAACTTTATTAGAATGACTTGATGGAAAACTTCATTGCTGTTTTGCAAAATGCTCAAATCATAAACACCTTATTGTTCTGAATCGGTCCTTATCAAAACAAAGTGTTCGACCTTCCGCTAATTGGCAACATTCGAACCTCCATTCGTCATTACTCGCTTCAGATTGGTCAAATTCAAATTCGTGAATGATGTCAGTCTTTTTCATTTTGCTCGATGAGTATGTCAGAGAAAAGAATCATCAGGCTTTCGAGTAGAAGAAAACACACGTTCGTGTATGAATAATCTTTGTATAGATCTGAAAAAATTTTCAACATTTCTAAACTAAGCTCCTTAGTAGTGACTCGATTCGAGTTTTGTTATTGGAAACAGTATGTCGAAGAATTTAGCAACATTTTCATTTAATTACTAGATCACACTCTTTTTTTTCAACTAAGATTGATAATAAATCAAAAACACAGAATGTACTTTCCCGAAAAATGACTTGACTACTTCCATACAAACACAGACTAGAGCTGAGTTTGACTCCTACTTAGATTATTTTTTTTAAAATTATTCAAATCAATCAATCAGTCAGTCATTTTAAACATTTTCGTATTGGTTTACATTTTAATCCAATCATCACCAAGGAAATATTTGTAACCTGATGACTAATAAATCTTGATTTGGCTGTCTTTTCCTCCTTTCTCTTTGATGTCTGTTTTTTTACAGGCAAGATCTGATGGTGCACCAATAAAACTACCTATTTCTTGATCTTTTTTTATATAACATAATATTCATAGATGGCGGATTCATCATCAACAACTGAAAATAAAAAACTTGATGATTTCTATAAGGATGTTCTATCAAAAGAACCAACTGTTCGAATAGAATGTTTTTCTGCACTTAAAAATTATTTATCTGATGTAAACACATCACTTGAATGTGAAGATCTAACTGGTTTTCTGAATGGTTTATTTAAATGGATTGAAGGCAGTAATTTTCGAGTATGATTTTCCTATCATTTACCGTTTTTTGAGAATGCTTGTTTGCGATTTAGATTGCTTGTAATGGTCTTCAAGCATTGGAATTATTTATTGATCGATTAGATTCACATGAATTGGAATGTTTTCTTGATAATGGTATTCAAGGAATTTTTCAATTGATACAAAAAGGTTTCTTTTCTGTTTTTTTCAAATTTAGTTGTATCTATAACAGTCGATCGATTGGGTGATGCCAAAGATCAAGTAAATAAAAAATTTTAAAAGTATAAATTATAAAGTAAAAATTTTACCTAGGTTCGAGAAGCAGCATCTAATCTTCTTATAAAATTAATGATAACATATACTCCACAAGTAAATTTTGTGAATTAAAATAAGCATAATTATTTTTTTTTTGTATATAGCGTGTTTGGGATTTAATACAACCATTATCGTTTGATCATAAACAATTTCGCGTAAAAGAAGAAAGTCAACGTTTACTTATAAGATCATTAAATGAGTATGTAATCGAAAATAATTAACTATTAAATAGAAAGAAAAAGAAATCTAGAATCAGAACAAAGCTTATCTTACCAATCAACTTTCTGCTTTTTCGATAGAAATAATAATCGACTTTTTTTTTCTTTGCTTGTTGTTGCAATGATCGTCAGGATTTTATATTAACGCAGTGACGACAGCGGAAAGCAATCATTTGAATGGTAAACAAATAAACGTCTGTATGTCTCCTAATTGAACGTACACAATCCACTATGAGTTACTCTGACTCCTGTTTTTTTTCTCTCACATATATACCTACAGACACATTTGTGTATGTCTGCGTCCTTCTATCATCATTAATAAAAGAGATAATACAACAGAACGTAAGAGAAATGCACATACAACTGTTCAACGGTCAACGACCGTGAGAAAGATCTAGCGATATAGCAGAAAGAAAAGAAAAAAGTTCACTCATACTATCTATTTGTACATGCATTGAGTGTAATCAAGATAGGTTTTGTACTCTTTTTGTCTTCTTTTGTATCACTTATCATTTCTTTGAGTGGCAAGTCAAGATCATTGTATTAATCATAGCTGAAATAAATACTAGTATGTTAACAAATCAATCAACAACTATATCGACAAAGCCTCCGATTGTAGAGTAAGTTTATAGATATCACTTTCCTATTGTATTTCGATTACGGAATATTTTTTTTACTAATTGATTAAAACTAATCGAATAAAAAAATACCGATTGTTTTTATACGAACAGTTCAATTATAGTTTGGCATTATATCTGTATTAATTATTTTTCATCAACATGAAAGTTATATCTTCATGATGAAATACCTTGTTTCTTAGTTTTTCAAACACAAAGATGCTACTGTACGTATGTATATATGTATGTATGTTTGTATGTATGCATGTATGTGTGTACATACATACAGCAGGAAAGACAGGGTGGTATGTACATAGCAAATAGATAGAGATATAATGATCGTTAAAGTGCATTACGTAAGATGCAAATGACATATCTCTCTCGCTAATGATCATCGTTGCTTTTTACTACTGTCTATTTAATCCAACTGAGTGTTATTCTCTTTTGTGGATTTCGATCTTTCTCTGTCGTTTATTTCTCTATTGTCTTGTCAACTGTAAGTTAATTGCAATACAAATAATTTCCTGTGTTAGTAGATAAAAAAAGGATTAAAATTTTATTAGTGTTACTGATATCGTGTCTAGTCGATATGAAACAAACTAATTCAATACAGATTATCAGTGATAAGTAAGTGAAATAGTAACAGACCATTTTTCTCGTAGCTTTATGTAAGTTTCATAAGTGTGTAGACATCTAGTTAGAAACTTTTTTTTTTCTTTTCCAGGTTTGGTGCATCAACAATTCAACTTGGCAAACTTGTTCCACTTATTTGTAAACTTGTATCGGATTCAAATGGAACGGTAAACTATTTAAAATATATTGGTTTTTTAATTATTTATTTTTAAAATAGGTTCGTCAACAAGCAACTGACACTCTTGTAGAAATTTATCGTCATGTTGGAGACAAAGTTCGTAATGATATTGCTAAACGTGACATACCTGAAGCCAAGTAAATGATTTCAAATCTGTTTTTTTTTTGCTTAGTTCTAATTCTTATTGTTTAGATTAAAGCAACTTTATGAAAAATTCGATGATGTTGTTGCAAGTGGTAGAATGATTGCTAAAGTAACTGATTCAACAGATGATGGTAAGATATATGCTTTATAGATAAAACTGAGTAGATGTTATACGTGTGTGTGAGGGTATGCATTACCATCCTCAAAATATTCTTTTGACCATTAATCAAAATGGAAGATCGTATTTATATTGCATTAACTCAGTCATCGAAGGTGTAAGGTATACATACATATATAAGATATAAATGATGATAAGTTGATCGTCACATTGAAAAAAAACCGCCCCGAAAAAAAGAAAAGATACAAAATGAGGGATGCATAAATTTATGTGTATATACGACAAACTACCTTTCTATCGTACTTGAACTGATCGAAGCTTGTTAGTTACTTTATACGAGATACAAACAATGAATTCAAGTTTACTTGAAGAATTTCTTGGTCCATCATCAACTCGTTTTCAATTACCAACATTGATTGAGGAGGAAAATGATGAACTCTATCCATTGGTTAATATAAAATTTTGTCGATTAAATCGGACGAGAAAATTATTGCTAGGTATAAATAAATATTTTACTATATAGATAAGAGTCTAGTATGTTACTTACACATAGTTATTAATCTTTTGTATATATTTAAATTCTACACTTTTTTTTTAAAAATTCCATATAAATTTGATGCTTTACTTTTGTGTTACTCTTCTCTGTCTCTCTTTGTCTCTTATATCAAACAGTAATCGCTTTGTTGAACTCATCCATTGATTGAGTCTTTTTTTTTTCTCTTTCCTATAAACTTGTATGTCTGTGTGGCGGTATGTATGCTTGACAATTTTTTTTAATAAGCCGAGGCAACGGCAAACACAAAAGGATGATCGTTTATATGCGTATGTGTAATTTTCATTGATATTCAAATTTTATATAAAGACGAGAGAGAAGAGAACAAAAGTGAAAAAGAAAAAGCATCACATTTACAGATGGTGCCTATTACAGATATGTTTTTGGCTAGTAAACCTCGTAAGACTGCCTTAATTGATTTTCTTTTATGATATTATTAAATCTATTTTTAGCTCGTGCAAACTCATCAACAGTAAAATCTCGACGTGATTCAGATGATGGAACAGTACCTCGATTAAGACAAAATGGTAGTATTTCAACACGAACAAGTCTTAGTAATTCGACTTCTTCAGGTAATTAAATTACATAAAAAAGTATTTTGAATGTATACAAAAGTAAGCAACAGAAATAAGTAAAGTTTCTTCTACCAATCATCGTTCACGTTCATCATCGGGTATACCACGTCCACACTCATCTATATCAACAACAGGAGGTAGTATTATCTTTTGTTGTGTTGTGTCAATATTTCAGCTGTTGTTATTTGTTGTTTTATCTGTGCTAGTCAGTTTGTAACACGTGCTTGTTTTATTGTTTGACCAAGTTGCATAGATAACTTGATAGTTGATGACGTAAGACATTGATCATGCATCGTACATTATATCCTTTTGATTCTAGTTGAGAATAAAAAAACGATTTCGTATAAAATAAGATTAAATTAAAAATTGTTTTTGTTTTATAGCTGCTGCTAGTGGAGCAGTTGATGAAGCAATATTCGAAGATGCATTCAATACATCATCTGATATTATGGTAAGAATGATTATGATAACCTATTGTAATCTAAGAAGAGAAAACATTTGTTTATATGTCAAATATCCCATATGGCAAATGTTTGATCTCATCAAAATAAATAAATCTTACGAATATTTTTTTTCTTTTTCTTTTTAATTCAAGATTTCATCGGGTAAAGATGTTGAAAATCAACTATTAAATATTCGGGATACACTTGCTGATACTAATAATGATTGGGAAAAACGTGTTGAAGCAGTAAGAAATAAGAAATTCATGGATCTCATTTAAGGTTTCCTTTTTCTTGTGATTAAGCTTAAACGAATACGTTCAATAATATCCGGTGGTGGTGATCAATATGATGAATTTTTTCGTACTCTTCGTCAACTTGATTTACCTTTAGCAACAACTGTCAAAGATTTACGTTCACAAATAGTTCGTGAAGCTTGTATTACATTAGCATTTATGTCTGTTCGTTTAACAAATCGTTTTGAACGTACAGCTGAAGGAATTATACCACCTATGGTTAATCTTATACAAAATAGTGTTAAGATTATAGCAACAAGTGGAAGTGTTGCTATGCGTTATATTGTTACTAATACACAATCAACTAAACTTATTCCACTTATATTAACTGGTATTGAATCAAAATCAAAAGATATTCGAAGGTTCATAAACATTTATTATATTAATATTAAATTAATTTTATGAACTTTTATTTTTTTCTTTGTTTTGTTTTTAATAGACATACATATGAATTATTAGTAATAATGCTTTCAAAATGGGATTTTATTTATTTGGATAAACATGGTCAATTAATTCATGATGTTATAAAAAAAGGTTTATCTGATGCTGATGCTGATGCAAGATTATATGCAAGAAAAGCATTTGGTTTTTTTCGTGAACATTTTTCTCTATTAGCTGATGCACTTCTTGCTACACTTGATTCATCAAAAAAGAAAACTTTAATGGTTTGTTTAAAAATACCTTCATCTTTAAAGAATTTCGTTTTGTTTGCACATGTATGCATAATATAGGGTGAAATGAGCAATGCATCAAGTACACAATCATTAGCAAGTGTAGGTAGCTCAAGAATACGCAATACAAAAGAGTATGTGTTTGAAATATTAACATCTTCGTGAATGTGATGTTGTTTTTTTATTCTTAATAGCACATCAAGACAAAATCGAATAGTAAATAATGGTAAGAAATAGATAGATTTGGATTCAACTTAGTGAACAGAAGTCTTCGCCCGAGTCGATCGTGGCCACCGTATGTGATAGCGGTTTGAAAATTTATCTATACATACTTCTCCAAGAATATAAGTCATTGACAACGCGGGATCTTTATTACTTAATTACAAAGAGAATTATGATGGGCGATACCTAGTGTTTGCCCCGAATATTTTAATCTAAAGAGGATTGCCTAGAAAATTTTGCCTTGTTTCTTATGAATAATATGACTAATTCTTGATATTTTTACATGTCAATGAAATCTCGTCGGTGATCTTTGTTCATCCAAAATTGAAACTCATTTGCTTAACTATAACTGTTTCTAGATTGTAGAAACTAATAAGATTATTATCTATTTTTCATTTCTTTTCAGTATCCAATTCATTTTCGAAACTTGTAGGTAATGTCATTGACATATGGCTCAGTTGTTGACTTCCAAAAAGTAATAGATAGTTTCTCTTCACAACAACGAGCATAGTCTTTGAAAGGATTGATGAACTTCAATGAAATTAGTAATGTAGATAGCTCAGACATTGTATTACATATTGAAGAGTCGGCTGACAATAAAAAAATAGATGCTATCCACCATAATTTCTGTCGTAATCAAGCAATAACAGCGTTACGCCGTAAATGATTTAAATTCTTGGCGAAGTGCATCTACACAAATTTTCAAATATTCAATGCATATAGTAGTCGAGATTGGCTGAGGTGCAGGCTTTCTTGTTTTAGAACGGAGCTAAATATGAATACGTATTTTTGAGAACTTTTTTCCTACTATATCAAGGATTGAAGACCTCTCGTCGAAAAAAAAATCAATTTTTAGCATATAAGCATAATTCAGGAAGTGCCTGCTATCAAGATTCATCAGAATATCCTCTAGTTTTAAAAGGTTACTTGAGATATTGTGATGAGTTTCTAGACTTCTTTAGTGAAAAGACTAGTTACAAAATCGATAGAAAAATTAGAAGCGTTATTCCAGTTATCATCCCTTATGATAACCTCACATCTAACTAGAAGATCATTTGATAAGACTATATGTTCACGTAATTTTCTCGATATTAGGTTTTACATAAATTGCAGAATAATTTCTTTTCGATAAGATTCGTTCTAGTTAACTGCATTGTTTTTAATATAATGAATAGATGCATTATCTTTTAGATGAATGAATGAAATTTTCTATGCAATCCTTATATCAAAGCAATCATGAGCTTTTTAGAAAACGTCGCTTAATATTTTGAGAGCCCTAAACATGAAATGAAAAACTCGTTTGCTCAAGCCGAATCCGCAAGAAGTCTTCTTTGAAATGAGATTAGTCCGAGCGCCATACCTTGGAGTGTACTATGAAAACGTTTGTATATGTGAAAACCATATTCTACACTACAATAATAAATTTCTTTTTGTGATGCTTATAACTTTTTAAGGGAATGTTGTAGTACATGTGGCAACTCCTTATTGTATTTGGAGCTTTGTACTCTTAAAAAAATAGTAATTGTCATACAGTTTTCTGAGACTTGAGAGTTACTGTGTTTAGTTTTTCAGAAACCTTTTTCTCATAAAATCTCAGTACACTATGTATTTGATACAAAACTTCATCGGCTATTCAAAGCACTATTTGGTTTTGAATTAAAGGCTTGGTAGCTATGACGATTTCATCTATTCTATTTTTCATTTGAACATTATCTTTTATTTCGATGGTGATTTCTCTGTTGTTGTTTTTTGTCATCTTCTCCTTTAATGTTTGAGACATCAAGGAGTTTTCACGCATGAATATTTGATTGAAATGATAGTAATAATCATTGTAAATGTTTTTTTACTTTTGAATCTCTTTTTTTACATAGACAAACAAAATTCATCGGGTAATTTAGCTCGATCATCAAGTGCTAATGAACTTGCATTACGAAAGAAAAATGCATCATCAACAACATTAAGTAGTAAGTGATTGATTTATTTAAATAAAATTACGAGTTTTCAGTTATTGAAAGATGTAAATTTTGTTTGAAATCATTGAAAACAAACGTTCTTTTTCTTGAGGTTTAAATGCCACTACTGATCAACCAATAAACAGTAAGTATTCAAAAAAGAGGGATGCATTTTCAGACGTGTAGCGTTAAGATAGGTGAACTCGTTAAGAATCTATGGTGATGATCAGTTTCTTTCATTATTTAAATAGCTTTATACTAAAAGAAGCTAGCAGTGATAATACATCGATCATCACTATAGGTTGTTCAATTGCTCACCGACTT